GCGCAAGTCGGTTCTAACCGGTTAGCGTCTAATGAAATTGATTCCCATCATGCTGATGTCTCACAACACGATATGCATTGGACTGCTGTTACCAAAAGTACGAAACGTACTCTGAGCGATACTGAATCGGACCCTCCTGAGGTGCAAAACAAATTTGATGTTCTTGCGAACATAGCTGATGATGACTCCGCACTTACTGTCGAACAGTACACGCACAGTACCAGACATGAAGGTGATGTTAGCTTGAAACGAAATCCCAAACCGAAGGCTCCCAAAAGTTTAAAAATCTCGCCTAGTCAGGACATAGGTAGTAAAATTACACAAACACTGAGTTCTGAGTTTGCGGTCAGCAGCCACAATAATGTGGCGCCATCTCGTGAAGGAACTGAGAAACAGGCTGCAGCGAGTAGGTCTGGAACCGAAAACGCAGCGCGACCACTCAGTTATCCAGATGAGGTCACGTGCCCGACTGGGCGAACTGACGCTCATATTCCCCAGGCTGGCGCAACTCAAATGAACACCATGGAGGAGAGACTTAGTGAAAATGCCACTAATGGTGAGGATAACAATAGTATGGACACGGACGCTAGTACGTCTAAACAAAATACAAGCTCAGATGAAAACATAGAAACGGAATTTGTGAAAAAGTCACGGATACCACCCATAACTATTAAAGTAGATTACCCTACTTGGAAAAACATAGCTAGGGCACTTAAACAGAGAAACATTGAGTTTAACTCTAATAAGAATAATAAAGGGATTAAAATTTTCATCAGAAACCCTGAACATTACAGGCAGACTGTTACTTATTTAAAAGACACGAAAGTGGAACATCACTCTTTCACGCTTCCTGAGGATAAAGACATAAAAGTTGTGATAAGAGGTCTTTTAAGAGATACAGATACGGTAGAAATACAAGAGGAGTTAGAGGATTTAGGATACAAAGTTGAATCAGTTAAGCAACTTACGCGCAGAAGAAAAGGGGAGGTTATTAAACTTCCGCTATTTTTAGTTACTCTGCCTAAGAAACCCAAATCCAAAGATATACACAACGAAACTCACTTATGTGACCTAGGAATTAAAGTCGAAAATTATAAAGGTAGATCGGGCACGCTACAATGCTATAGGTGCCAAGGATTTCATCATACGCAAACTGGCTGTAACTATGCACCCAAGTGCGTGAGATGCGGAGAGGGACATTTGTCCTTTGAATGCCCTAATAAAAACTCTGACTTGCCACCATGTTGTGCGAACTGTAAACAATCTCACACCTCGAACTTTAGGGGTTGTGAGATGTTCCCTAAAAAGAAACAAGATAAGCCAAAAGTCTATACTAGTAGGGTTATAGAAAATAAATCATTTGCACAAGCCCTGTCTACTGGTTTGTATGCAGACACGATCAAGGAAGCAAAAACTGTTTTTGCACACCTGGCCGAGCTTGTATCGGTCATTAAGAGCTCCGGCTTTCTTTTAACACAGCAAATAGGACAAAATGCACCTACTCATAAGGACAAAACTACCATAAATCAAGATCTTAATGGATAGGTACACCACACAAGGAGATCCCATAAAATTAGCATTCTGGAATGCTCATGCCATTCAGAACAAGTTGACGGAATTTTTAAACTTCCTTAACAATCACAATATTGATATTGCCCTTGTAACAGAGACTTTTGCCACGCCATGCGTGCGTATAAATTTGCCTAATTACCGCACATATAGGTGCGATCGTTTGAGTCACCGTGGTGGGGGGGCCGCAATTTATGTGCGAAACTCGCTACAGTCCTGTTTGATTAGCCAAGATAGAAACGACGGACATGAGATGGTCGCAGTCTCAGTGTACTTACCGCAATATGGTAATTTGAATTTCATTTCATTTTATAATCCGCCCAGGAAACTACTGACGACGGAAAGTGTTCTTTCCAAACTTCTCTCTGACACTAATAAGTATATCCTAACGGGTGATCTCAACGCAAAGCACTCCGAGTGGGGGTGCCGTAAAACTAACCAAAATGGTAAGGTCCTCTATGAATTTATAAATAATCACCCAGTTGCCTTGCATGTTACTGAGGAGTATACGTATAGACCACAGAACCCAAGAAATGCAGACCTTCTTGATATTCTTCTGACAAATACTTCAATCCCTATTTATACTGAAGTAAAGCACGAATTGAGCTCTGACCATATACCGGTCATTGCTTACCTAGGCACTACTAAAGAGGCAGAAAATGAAATGATCCGCACGACTGACTGGAATAAGTTCCAGAAGTTTCTCAGTCAGAATCCGCCCATCTTTGATACTCTGAACTCGCGGAAAGATATAGATGATGCAGTTGATACCCTCACTGATTCAATCAATAATGCTATTGAAAATGCCTCTAGACACGTGAGAAGAAATAATAACGCTGGCATTCTGCCACAGGAAATTAGAGAGATGATTAAGGACCGGAATAGGATGAGGAAAGCGTGGCACCTTACATGGAGCCCTCACGTTAAAAGAGATATGAACAAATTAAATAAATTAATTAAAAAGAAAATAGATGAGCATAAGAGAGATGTATGGGAAGAAAAAATTCAGAATCTTAGTCCGAATGATGGCAGTCTCTGGACGTTCATGCGTAACTTGAAAAGGCAGCGTACATGCAATAAGCCGATTTATACTGAAAACTCTGTTGCTCTCAACAATAAAGACAAATCGACGGTCCTTGCGGACCATTTAGAAGAGCAGTTCAGACCTAACATGACGCCCATGGACATTAATTTTGTCAATGAGGCATGCTACTTTGTTAGGGATTGGCTTAATGCCCACACTGCTAAGAGGTACATGGCCACTGCTACCCCCAGTGAGATCAAAGAAATCACAAAGAAGCTTAAAGTCAAAAAGGCCCCTGGCATAGACGGTATTAATAATCACGCACTTAGAAATCTGCCCTGCAATGTTGTGACAAAATTCACGAGTATTATCAATGCGTGTCTTAGTCAATGCTATTTTCCCACAAAATGGAAAATCGCAAAAGTTATTTTATTGCCTAAGCCCGGCAAGGATAACACTAAGCCAGATGGGTACAGGCCCATTAGCTTGCTTCCGGGACTAGGAAAGGTCTTTGAGAGATTAATCTACAGCAGATTGAAAAACTATATTGAATTACTGCCTCCGGAACAATTTGGTTTCCGGAGAAAGCTTTCAACAACGAAGCAGCTGGTTCGGCTCGTCGAGTTTTGTGGGGATGCGCTTCACAAGAAACAAAATGTCGCCTTACTCATGCTAGACGTGGCGAAGGCATTCGACCGCGTCTGGCATGAGGGGCTTATTTATAAACTTATAAATCTCCCTATGGATAGAGAGCTGATTCAGCTAATTATGTCTTTCATCACTAATAGGAAATTCACTGTGGCTATTGGAAAGGACATCTCCAGTTTACGCACCATGAATGCAGGCGTCCCACAGGGGTCCATTTTAGGGCCCGTCCTGTATTTATTTTATGTTCATGACTTCCCTAGGGCTCACATTGGCAGAAATTACTTTCTTGGGTGCTATGCGGACGATACGGCATTAGCCGTAAAGTCCGCAAACGCACACCATGCAATCAAGAAATTACAGGAGCTTCTACCAGTGGTAGAAAAGTGGTGTACGACTTGGAGAATTGCTATTAATGCCAGCAAGTCGCAATTATTATTGATAAGGAGGAAAAATACACAGTTGACTATTAATAGCAAGCTCTTCTTATTCTCTGAAGAGATTCCTAGAGTTAGTAAGGCGAAATATTTAGGAGTAATGCTAAATGAAAGATTAAAATGGGGAGATCATATAACAGAGGTCAGAAGAAAAATTTTCACTGTTGTAAATAGTCTCATCCCTATATTGGGTAATTATTCTAGCTTAGACCTCAGGAAAAAGAGGCTAGTTTATATCACGGCAATTAGGCCATTGATGACTTATGCGTCGCCGGCCTGGTGCACGGCTACCAAGGAGGATATAAAAAGACTTCAAATCATGCAAAACAAAGTCTTAAGGCTTATCACCCATGCTCACTTTTTTGTGAGCAATGCTACACTGCACTGTGACTTAAAACTGGACACTCTAGAAGAGCACCTGAATAAGATCAACAGGAAATTCTTCACGAAAGCTCTGAACTGTGACCATATGAGAAATTTTGATATCTTTACCTACGAAATATTGAATGAGGACGCCAAACTGCGCCCACTTGCGGCCCACCTTATCAGGGACCCGAACTTTCCCACCTAGTGCCCACCTGTAAATAATGTACCCAATGTGTTTTTAGCATTCTTAATTTTGTATTTACTCATTTATTGTACTGTGTATTTCTTAAATTCTCTAGTTTATTCACATTCTACACTCATTTTATGACTCCCACTTAGTCACGCCTTTACCGGGCCGGTTACTTGCTTGTGAGCTCTTGCGTTGCTGGTCTTCCTATTCTTTATCCGTCTTTCTCCTCCTTACTGCGGACATTATGTGAAGATAGTTCTATGTTATTGTGCCCATCCGGCATAAATTTGATTGAGCCAGATAAACTACTGATCTCAGTGGTATTCTGGCTATAAGTTATCAGTCAGTCAGTCAGTCAAGAACTCTTCGCTTCGATACGTTAACTATCTAATTCGCATTCTTGTGGAAGTTGACGAAAGTAAAAGTCAAGTTAAAGGCAAAATAATAATTTAACTGGGTTAATTAGCATAAAACACTACAACTCATCATGAATACTGTAGTTTGTTGTGTTTAGATGAAACAAATGCAGTTTCATGGGCGACGACCGTAGACGACCGCTTTTTAAAGTGACGAATGTTTTTGAGTATATAGGCAAATAAGATCACCGATAGTAGTAAGATCACCTTCACTGGTAACCATAGTAATCTAGAACCTTGGTGGTCCTCTTAGGGAAGTTTTATTGCGTTAAAAATAAACCATGAACAAAGTATTCCTATGCAACTGGACATCCTCTGCCCGATAATGACAGTAAAATTGAAAAATTTCTCACCGTAGTGTATATTCCATTATAGTCATTAGTTGGTTCCAGATTTCTGTGGAAGTCCAAAATTTCCCTCCATACTTGGACAGAACCTATGAAAAATACAAATGTTTAGTCTACGAGGAATGAAACTAAGCAAATATTGCTTCTTTAATTGTTTTTGTTTCCAACCGAAAGGAATCTTATTTTAAATGCTAGTCCTTATATATGTATTGTTCTAAATTTATATGTATACTTGCATATTTTCCCTCTTCATGTTTTTATATATTACAGAGGAAGGAAGGATTCCTATCTCCATCCATGATGCATATAGTTATTTTCTTACGTTTTAAAGGAATAAATTTCACGTATGTTATTGCTCACAATTTTTTGACATCTGTGATAATACTATAAATATTAGAACTGGATTTACTAGTTAAGGCAAAGCACAAAGTAACCAAAGGAGAAACAAGCCTTAGCGAAGCACCTACTAATAATCTGAAACTGATTGGTGCTTACACAGAAGGAAAATCTCAAAAGTCCATTTCATTTGCATGTTCAACGGCTAGGAACAGAGCCCAGACAACTACCAGCATTTCGCAGTGGCCACTAGAAATATAATATTCGAAATTTGACACAATTTTGACATTTGAGGCGAATGTTTTACATTATTTTATCTAAACACTGCCCAAAACGTCAACTTTTCGTACTTTTTAACAACTCTGATATTATATTCTCTGATCATGTATGGTCAAAACAATAAAATCTGGAAATTTTCCCTTTGCAAGTACTGGCAATTCGGTCCGAGATTCGAATCCAGCGAACGGGCTGTCTGCATGGGCGTTTTCTTGGTTTTTCCCTATGTAACGTGTATACGAGCCAGTTTCCCTTAGAAAGTCCTCCGCGAAGGCATCCCTACCCTTAGGCAGAAAGCCCTCGAACCTTTGCCGTAATCACATAAACCAAACCACACCAACCCTTTGCCAGTATCCTGTATACTCTTTGCCTGTATAAGAAATGTGATACCAGTAAGTGCTTCTTCAGTGAAAGTACTTAGTTAAGTTGAAGTTTATTTAAAGTAAAAACTACCCCTTTAAAGGAAATTTTACTGTTGCTTTTGTTGTCAAACATTTTATAACTGAGATCTAATGAAATATTAAGGTCAATAAAATTCCAAGTGTCCGGATTATTTATCGCTGTATTTAAGTCGAGTAAAACTGAGCTTGTTTTAATTTTTTTATTTGATTTAAATTTTTTTCTTTGATTTAAATTATATAAAAATATAACATAGCCCAGTAAAATATTTTTAAGAATACACAGGGTTAAGTATTATTTAATTTGCTATCTAGTTGCGAGGGCAGATCAAAAAGTAAGTTGCTTTCCAAGTTACGACCATTTATTAATTGTCAATACAAAAGCAATACGGCTATGACAGCATACAATGCAAGTTCACTTTTCCACATAGTTCCCAAGACATTCTAAACATTTCTCCGAACGGACAACCAACTTTTCGATTCCGGATGCATAGAAATCTCCTCCAGCGCTATGTAACCACACGATGAGAGCTGCTTTCACCTCCTCATCATTTCGGAATCGTTGTCCACCGAGATGCTTTCTAAGTTTACCGAAAACATGAACTCAACACATTACAAGGCTCGCCAAACGTGCGACCTACTGCAACGATTCAAGTGGGAGATACGGCAACATCCTCCATACAGTTCCAATTTAGCACCATGTGACTTTCATGTTTACGGTAAGCTTAAAAAGCATCTCGGTGGACAACGATTCTGAAATGATGAGGAGGTAAAAGCAGCTGTCTCCGTGTGGTTACATAGAGCTGGAGGAGATTTCTATGCATCCAGAATCAAAAAGTTGGTTGTCCGTTCGGAGAAATGTTTAGAGTGTCTTGGGAGCTATGTGTAAAAGTGAACTTACATTGTATGCTGTCATAGCCGTGTATTGACAATTTAATAAATGGTCATAATTTGGAAGTGCAACTTACTTTTTGATCTGCGCTTATTTTAAGTACCTTTCCTTCCAATTCTCATTTCATTTCCCTACCAGAATGGAAAATTTCCAGCATGCGCGATATTCAAATTAGCTAAAAGGAAGCATTTAAAAGAAGCTTTCGAAAGGTGAAATCAAAGCTAAGGCCACGTTACTGATGCTCTAGCGATTAGAATCCTGCGATATTGAGTTATTCTGGCGATTAGGCTTATTTACTCCGACTTCCGAGTCAGAGCCAGCTTGCGCGATAGTAATACTGTGAAGCCGTTAAGCCAAAAATGTTGGCTTTTGTAAGCACGAGTTGGTGCCGACTGTTAACCTTTATTTGACTTAATAAGGGATTCTTTACACCCTCCTCCTGACTTTGCAATACTTTAAAATACTTCTTGATAAGTCACCTTGTAAGGATCTTAAGTTTTACTAACGTTTATTTTATTTTAAATCTTTACTATCACTTCTTATTTTCTACTTCCGGCCAGAATTATAAGCGTTAAAGCATTTATGCAAAGTTGTCTGGCGAACGCCAAGTATTTAAGTTGTGGCTTTTTGCCAAGCGAGAGAGAGGAAGCAGTTAGTCGAAGCAGGCCGCTTACCTTAGAAGTTTACTCAGTCGCTGGTTGCCTTCCAGGCTAGAGGTTTTAATCCTCTTGATAATTTTTTAAACGTATTGTAGTGTTCACAGTTCTCTGTACTACATACGGCTTCCTGTTTAATATAAGGCCAATCTTCCACACGTTTATTATTTTAAAGTTAAATTAGAGTTTAGTTTTTATTTTTATACTTTTACGTTTTGACCCCAAGAAGCGGGTCTGTGTATTTCCGAAGTACGGAAGTTATTGTAAATAGAGAAAAATAAAGGGTTTTGTATACCCTTCTTGTGTATCCTGTCTACTTCCCACAATTGTTGAACATAGCTTTAGTAAGCTCTCTGTTCCGAGTCAGGTCCTTGCATGTTCCCGAAGAAGGTTAGACGGAACATTGAACCTGATAACCTTCGTGATAAGTTTTATGCTATACACGACTTTATAACATTGAATAAACCAGTAAATTAATTTAGATGAATGTTTAGGACATCTGGATTGTATTACAGTACCTGATAAATACGTAATTTATTCCATTAGCATCACTTTATTATTTGCCTGAAAACATTCTTTTATTTATTCATTCAAAAGTAGCAAATTACGAAGCAGGTAGTTTTCACTTACTTTCGATTTTGTGCGTATAGTAATCTCCTTCTGCATAGTAGAAGCCTAAGAAGGAATCAAATCCACGGCGCGTTGGTGTATAGGATTCATTACAATGTCCGAGATGCCATCTAAGGAAAAGAAAAATTATCTTAGTTTGTAAATCAAACTTAAATAACAAAAGCTTCATGTAACGTCCATATAAAAAATATGTTTGTGGCTGAGTTCATTTCTTAATCACAAGGAACTTGATCAAAAAAGTAAAATTCTTCATCACATGATCTTGAATATGCAGTATCTTTTTAGGAAAATTATTTTAAAGTTAATGGAAAAATTCAAGCGAATTTCTTACTGAAATTTCCATTGCACTGTACAGAAGACAATCTATTAACTATATCTGAGCAATGGAAAAGAAGTGCCTAAATTCGGAACAAAGAGCTAAATATATAGTATCAGTCTCATAGACCTTTCGGAAGGGCTTCCTTGGGCTTTGTCGATGGTTTGTTTGAAATTTATCACATTTTTTCTTGGGAGGGGCTTTTACCTTTAATTTAAGCAAACATTATAAGCTTTCTAAAATTATTATTATCATTCATCAAATGGAAAAATTAGGGAATTCTCTGTCCTATTCCTGCTGGCTTATGTACTAGTTATATGCAGCATTTTAAATCCGCATTATTTAAAAAATAATAATAATTTTCAGTTTCCCAATTCCGGGGATTGTTTGTTTACTTTTTTATTGGTAATAAAGATAATTTTAAAATGTTTCTACTGGTTATAAATTTAATAGATTTTTGATTTTTACGCAATCGAGTTCTAATTCCACTTATGTACTTGTAATACCTAATTCTTGTTTCTGCTCCTGTTTTTTATCGATAGAAGGCGCGAATGGGCTGGCTGCAGAGGTGTTTTCGTGGTTTTCCCCGTGTGTAGCGTGTATACGTTGCACATGGGAAAGTCCTCCACGAAGGCATCCCTCCTCTCAGGCAGATAGCCCTTGGAGGATTTGCCGTAATCACATAAACCAAACCAAATCTATCGACAGAAGGAGTCATTATAGAGGTATTATTGTATTAATTTCTTGAAGTTTTTCTTGCTTTGTTTTTTTCTTCCAATGGTCTATGTTTCATCCACTAACCAGCAACCGAAGATGAAAGTACGATTAAAACCTTCAAAACTTACCTTGAGTAAATTTTCAAACTTTGGGGCTATTTTGTTGAAAATATTTCAATAATTTTAAATAAACTAATAATTTTAAATAAACCATAATGCACTAAAGGAATTAATGCTAAGCTGTTCTGCTTAAACGCATAATGTACTGGGCTTGGTTACATTGTTATGTCACAGCACTCTATTTGTTTAAGGAGAGAAATTCTTCATGGAGAACATTCTAAGGCAAATTGCCTCATGTTTACCTTACACCACGAAAATTCCATGCACTGACTCTTTCAACCGCTGACAAAAATTACCGGCTCGAACTATTAATATTGCATGGTTTTTTTTGCTGCCTGGCCAAGAAAATACAAAGGAATACTTTATCTGCTACAAATTATTCAGATACTAGTGTGGAAGGAAGTATGGTCTTGCATTTTGTATTTATATTTAAAAACTACTATTTTCCCATTTTCCGAAATAAAACTTTTGTGTACTTACTTTCCTATAATATGAGTAGAATATCTGAGTTCTTTCAGCTTCTGTGACAGGAAAGGATATTTCACTGATACGCCTGTTGGTTCCAGCACTATAACAACGCAGTTCTAAAATAAAATTACTAGATTAACTTATTTAAAAAGCTATCAACAGTAATCTATAGAATAATATTCATATATAGTCTTGTTTATTATACGAGTGGTGGGAAACTTAGTAAACTTTCTAAATTTATCGAATCTGAACAGGTGATTTTAAGACAATAAATGACCATGAAAAATACTTAGCAGGATAAATAACATGTAATAAATTTTAAAAAGTACAAAATGAAGGAAATGTTTTGAAAATATAAGCTTTAAATAGGTAAAAAAAATTGGAAAGATACTAGAATTAGTGCAAAATTGCTCACATATTAAATAGTTATTCATAAAAAAACATGAAAATTTTTTACTCCAGTAACTGTAGAGTCATTAGGTTTTTTTTAATGCCGGAAACGGAAAGGAGCAATGCTCTCGCCGGGATTCGAATATTCGCCGAGTGTGCTAACCGTTACACCGCGAAGGCATGCTGGAAAGAGGGAGAAAATACTCCCCCTTTTTAAAGGGCTATTGCGGATTAGGGTACCCAGTCGCCAAATCCTTGTGGTGAAGAATCATCACCCACCGCCTTTTTTTTTAGTTCGGGCGCCACTGTAGAGTCTAGTTTTTTTGGGGGGGAGCATAAAATGTAGACCCTACTGAAGACGATAAAGCCAATTTTCGCTATGTCTTGAAAAAAAAAAGCAAAAGATGACTGCCGACGAAAGTTATAACAACCTTTTTATTTTAACTAAACTGAACAGAACATGCACTCACTCGGTATTCACAATATAACTACCACTTGTGTAACTTAATACAAAATAGTATATACAGTCAGAATGAATTAAATTTTAACTACACGACTGGCTCCACTTTAATCTAAATCCGCTTTGTCAGCTGCACACAGCAATGCCGAGTATAGAATATCAATATAAATTAAAGTATGTGGCTAGCTCAAAATATTCAGCAACACAGCTACTTGCAAACACACGGCATAAGCTGTAACTGCCTCTTCTACTGCGAACTCTTAAGTTCTACTACTTAAATACTATTTCCGAACTCATTTAGATTTTCATATACGTCATTTAAACTTGTATTCTGGCAGGAAATTAAAATCAGAAGGGAAAGGAAAGTTTCTTAAAAGAAAAAACAATTGATTAGTTTAAAATAAGGTCTTTACACAATAAGCAGATTTGCATGGAGTTAAAAGATATGCCTCTTCTGTGCTTTATAATTGGGCAGTAGTAAGCACACCAAGCAAGCAATGAAAAAATTCAGATTCAGTTCTCGGCAAGTGAGAGTTTGAATTTCTCAAAAGTTCTTGCTCCCAAAACCTAATGACTCCATAACCTTTCCTTAATTTTACTGCAGTAAACTCTATTTATCTTAAGAAAGTACCATGAAGAAGTTCTTACTTCAAATTTTCATAAGTTAAAGTAAGATTCGCATTATCCGATTGAAGTTACAAGTATTCGTACGCAACGTAACCTAAGTCTCTGTACCATTTCTACAATTGATCACTTACATCATATTCAGACTCATTCTCTGACTTACAAATTTATTAGGTGCATCAAGTTATCCTTATCAAGAATGAAGAGAGCAGTGAAAGCGTGTTTACCAGGCTTTGCATTGTATTCTTTCTTTCGGGATTTATGTATCATGAAGAGTATACTTATTTGCTCTCGATGTTCTCGTTGTTTATGCTTCGCTATGTTCACACTATGGCGTAAGTATCACTGTCATAGTCATTACTACTAGTCATCATAAGAGCGGTCACGCTGTAAGAGTTTTGGGAATTGGCTATCTAATTTAAAGTAAGTCGTGTAATAATTCTTTCCATAAGGAATAAAAATGAACATTGCATAAAATTCCGATTACCTCACAGACCTGTGTATTTTTTATATTAAAATATTGGTAAGTATACAGAGAAAGTATAGAAAATTTGTGTTAGGAGAAATGTAATCGGGATTCAGATAAGAGATGGGTATTTGTAGGACTACGCAGTTCTGCAGTTTATCAATAGATTCAAGTTTTCAAATTTCCACCAAGGCTCATATTAAAAAAAATCGGAAAACAAACCTTTCACATTGAAATTTTGTTAAATTATTCTCTAACTTCAGCGAAAATTCAAATCTTGGAGAGTGCGCTGGCTGCATGCGTTAGTCGTGGTTTTTATTATGTGTAATGTTACTAAGAGGAAATTTTCCTTAGAAATTCTCCCCATATAGTCATATAGCCCTCGCATTCTTTTCTTTTTATCACTTAACCGATCAACTGATGGACTTTCGTGAAGCTCTGTCAGACAGCCATGTTAGGCTTAGAAAACAAAAATGCTTCATTATCATTTGACAGAAAAAAAAAAAAAAAAACTATAAAATGCTTTATATTTTACTTTGTTGAGCGTTTTTCAGGGCAATTAGCTGATGAGTGGAAAGAATAAATTAAAAATTCATTGGAAAATTATTCTCACAGAGAGTTAGAATTCGGCAGCCAATAGGTTGGTAATCACATACGCGTAAGCTCAACTTCCTTTGATTCTTTGTGCCTTAGACTGTAATACTCAGAGTTTTGGCAGTGAGAACGCTGCTACAAATCTTATTAGCAATGTATCTGCCAAACGTGACATTTAAGCCAAAGCATAAAAGCAGACTTATTTCCGAAGCTGTTCGAAAAATATGAAATCCCCCGAAAAGGGCTCCCTGAGAACAAATTCTCAATACTAAATCACGAAGAAGCATTTAATGAAGACGCATTAAGACGCATGAAGCTCAGTACTGCAGAAATTCCAGAAAACAGTCGCAGAAAATATAAATAAAAACTCTCAAATAAAGTATAGATATGTTACAAGAAAATTATCTCTCACAACGGAGCGTACGACTTTTGCCTCATCGTTTTCGCCCAAATTCCTAATAATTGCAGGGGATCTTAAAGTAAATACTTACAAAGATAAAGAGAGCACCTTTCAAAATAAGAGAAAAAATCGGTGATAAAGGAATCGCTTTATAAAAATGAAGAACTAATTGATAACTTAGGCTCATTTTTCGTTTTTAATCTGGCTTATTCTTTTTTCCTTTTTGTCATCTAATAGGAAAGGTTGGTGCAAGGAATTCTATAGCAGACTATAATTTGAGATCTTTGCTTATTAAACTTACACTATTTTACCTGCGAATGTATGAAAACGTTAAATTTATAAATAAATATTATCTATTACTAAACTGTACTTTCATAAATTTTTAACTTCTGCCGTTTTCTCTCTTAAAGAGCTCTTTTTCTTTTTGAAAGTTAGGTAAAATTATTCTACGACCAGCTACATTTTAAGCAAAGGAAGCGTTTTAGGAGCGACATTTGAAAAACTAAACAGCTTAGGTGGACCCTCTGTCGTGTTGCGGAGTAATAAAGTGCATGAGAGAATATATATATATATATATATTTTTACTGATAGATTTTAAACAAAGTGCTTGTAATAGATATCAAATAGCTGATTTATGTCGTCTTCCTTCTTCCTGCCTCATATACAGCAGTTTAATTTAAAAATAAACTTTATTTCCATGAGCGAGATTAAGTAACCAAAAATAAATAAAATAAGTTACCTGACAACGCTCTTTGGAATTATTTTATCTTAAGTAAATAAATATACTCTTTTGTGTAGATTAAAAAACTCAGCTTAAAGGTATCTAGTTTAAGTTTACTTTATACATAGATTGTTACGATATTTAATTGTAAGTTTTAGACATCACGAAAATGTGCAGAACAGATCAAAGAAGGCTGGAAGTTAAAGCATTAGCTAGGTGTTATGAGTAGCGATTTAATAAAAGCGAAAGAACAAAGTCAGGTGCAAAAAAAAAAAAAAAAAAAAAAAAATTATGACAAAGTAAAACTAGAATAACATTTATAGCTTCTCTTTTACTTTTTAATTTCTTGATATAAATATCTGATAGTCTGTCTGGCTAAGACTTTGATAACTAAGATTACGAAAATAAGTCAATGTGATTAAATTAAGAATGTTATAGAAACAAAAAATACCATTTGTAAAATTTTATGACATGCATACTACAGCAACAAGAAGCGTAAGTTGCATAAATTTGCAGGACTATAGTTTTGAAGGTTCAATAACCTTCTTCAGCTGCAGGAGTGAAAATGATGATGGGGAAACATCTGCTGACGTGGTTACAATAGACAAAAAAAGAAAATGGAAAAAATCTATTTGCGTCATCTATTGACAAAACGTAAAAGCGTCTATGAATCAGTCATTCATAAATCCTCCATTTCCCAACAGTACTGTCAAAAGTTACATTTTACGTTTCTCTACATCTAAACACCTATTAAAAAACATCTCCCACTGGCGAATTAGACTTCCTACAGACGTTTCAAGCTCCTGGTTAATAATCCCATCTAATCCGTCTTTACCTTTCAGTTTTAAAGGAATTATTTTATAGTTGCTTTCACATTTTGCCAATAGATGGCGCCAGTAATTTTGTTTCTTCCTTTTCGTCAATTGTTATTGCATGAGTACAAGTTTTCTCTTTGTCATTTTCCTTCTTGCAGCTGAAGAAGGTTCTAATTAACCTTCGAAACTATAGTCCTACAAATTTACGCAATTTACAATGATTCTTGTTGCTGTAGCGCGTTTAACATTGTTCTTCGGTATGTTCGTTTTATCATAATTAATAGTTACGTAGTATTAACTTCTAGCAAATGATGCCTGAAGCTAAGAGCCTGACCTAATTTGGTAAATAAATGAAGAATTGCTGAAACCGCATCTCAGTTGTACAATTATTATAAGTATAAAAACATATCTTTTTAAATAAATTAGGTACGGGATACTAAGTGATCGGAATTATGAAAAATATGGAGTCACTGGTTAAAAAAACTCGTGTAGATAATGTTATTACCTTATGAAAAGGCACAAATATTAGTTCTCACCTGACGTCCAATGTGGTATGGGTAGTAACCAGTCATAAAAGCAGCTCTTGATCTGAAATGAAATGGATTTCACATAAAAGAAGAGTTTTAAATAATATTTTTCCGTTTTAAAATGCAACTCAAGCACAAACAAGATAAAAAATTTCACTCAGAACGAGTTGATGAGTTAGGTAATCTTTCACATTTTAGTTATCCTGTCTTGTAAGAACGTAGACCTGTCCTTGGAAATGGGTCGTGAAACATCAATAAATTATCTCTGGATTGAAATGGAGATCCAGCTGCTGATATCGTTATATTCGCTGAATAATTTTACTGGACATTAACTCTTGAATATTTTTAAACACTACAACATCATAAACTCATCATGAATGGATGTCATCGAGCTGAATTTATTTAAAAAAAATCATACAAAAAAGTAAAAATGAGGCGTGGCATTTTGGTTACAGTTAAGTGAGTGGATTTATTTAAAAAACTGTGAGTGAAGATTCTTGGCTACAATTTAAATTTAGAGCTTATAGTACAAAACGGAAGAAGTCATTCAGTAATTGGCTTGTAGATCAGTAATTCTGAACGCATGTAAGATACCAGCCTCATTTCTTTTCAAGCAAGGCTAACTGTAAAACATTTTAAAAGTGAATGCATCTCCAGAAGAGCAGGTTGGTCCCTGTGCCGAATCGTAGTGCACAAGCACCTACACACGTCTAAGGTGCATCAGTTGCGTCGATGGTGGTTGGGAGGAGGGAATGTGGTACGTTCCCACTAGTGACGGTGCTGTCAGAGTGATTTCAGCACGCGCGAATTGACGCATCCGCAGGCTTGCGATGGTGACATGTAGGACACTCTTGATGCTCTCCCGGCGACCAGCACCTTTATTCGAAGATTGACAACGGGTGGCCTATACTTATGGCGTCCGTTAAGAAGCCTGCCACTGAGCCAACAACACAGGGGGCCTCTGTTTGCGATGGTGTCAGACTTCGGCCACGTAGACAACGTGGAGTCACGAGGACTTCAGAGTGACATAATCTGATGTTTTCCGACGAGTCACGCATTTAGCTAAGCAATGACAGTCACTACTTCCTTCAGGCATTTATCTTCCTTCCAAATACGATTTACCAACAGGATAATGTCAGATCACACACGGCGCATATCAGCCGACAAGCCCTGCAAGATACTCGGAAGCTTCCTTGGTCACCTTTCTCTCCAGATCTCTCACCCATCAAACATGTCTGGGACGAGCTTGCGTGCGTTGTGGCCGCCTCGTTCCGAGGACGAACTGCAGCAAGTAGTTAACAGGCTATAATGGTAGCCTGTTAACCACTTGCTGCAGCTATAATGACATAGATTTAATATCCCTAATCCGAACGATCTGATGTGTCTGTTCCTAGGCGTGTTGCTGCCTATATCGCCGCAAGCGGTGGTCCTACAACATACTGGGCATAATTTTCAGTCGCTCTTTTTATAAGTGTATCATGTTGTATTGAAAATCACGTAATGTTCGTTGCGGTGTCTCTCCTTTTTCTGATTTTCATCATTTTCTGCGCATGAATAAATGATGAAACTGCATTTTCACTGCCACGTAGTATATATTCTGTTATAGTTATTCTTAGTGAAAAGTAAAGTTGTTTATTATGTGAATCAAACAGAACGAAAACTTAGATTTTCTGATATAATGTTGTAGAGACATTACGTATTTTTGGAAGCAGGCAAGATGGAAAATTAGCAACGCCTTCGCCGGGAATCGAACCGCGTATCTCTTAATTACGCGCTGAGCGTGCAGACCACTACACCACGAAAGCCCGCTAAGAAGGCGGGAGAAATAGCTTGTATACTTCCCCTTTTAAAGGGCGACTGGGGTTTTTACGGGACCCAATCGCCAAATCCTGGGCGTGGAGAATTATCATCCACCATCCTTTTAGTTCGGGAGCAAATGTTGAGACATTATATATTTTTGGAAGCAGGCAAGATGAAAAATGAGCAAATGCCTTTCCCGGGAATCGAACCACGGTCCTCTGGAATGCGTGCCCAGCGTGCAGACCACTACACCACGAAGGCTCGCTAGGAAGGCGATAGAAATACCTTATAATGTAAGAATTAAATGACGTATTACACCAAAAGCGATATGACAGAAAATATTTGGTAACTCTTATTGGCATCGTTTTTTTTTCACTCATCCTTTTTATCAAATTGTATTCCTTTTTTATTTAAAGAAATAAAGTAATATTTTTGCTTATTTTTTTATAATTTAAATTCATAATTTGTTGATGAAACTGCGTTCATAATTTTTATATAAAGTTTTATATAAATTTTAAGCGGAAAGAGTGTTTACTGGTTTATCTTCCAGACATAATTAAGAAATAAAAAATGGAATTATCATCTCTTATTTCAAGTATTAATTATATTAAATTATATAACAGGCATGTAATGAAATACGCAAGCACTTAACTTTCTAAGATTTTTGACCCGGAAGAAGTATCCTCAGCGAAAGGATCAAATATCTCTTAATATAGGCGTATACAATATTTTTTGAAAGATGCAAATTTTCAATTTATTAAAGTGTATTTATTCATTGTTAATTGAAAAATATTATACTCAGTGAGGAAGAGGCAAACAAATAATTCTGTTAAAAACGTTTTCTTGGAGGTAAGTCCGCAAGCAAAGTAAAAATATAAATCCATGAAATGGAAATATTCATCCCCAATCTCCTCTATATAAAATTTTGTGCCGATTTGAGGTACGTCTTTCATTCACGTATTGAGTTTGCTGCTCTTTGGTAACATACTCTAATTCTAAACTCTTTGCAGACTTCGAGCGATATATCGCTTCGTCTGCAAACAACGAAAGAAGACTTTGAAACAAACCTTTTCATTAACTCAGAACTAGAACATAAATGCACGTCTCGTGCTTGACAAATCAACCACCTGTGGCAATGAAACTTAAGTAACAGTCAAATTCGTTATTTAAAAACTAAGTCTAATGACCAGAGGCTACACAACTCATTTAATGCGAAGTTGGCTAAAAATTTCTCTCTGACGTAACAATTGAAATATGGACAAACATACTGCAAAGCCGAAAACTGCAATCTTATCGGGATTAGCGAAACATTGTCACGCGGCCTCGAGAGGCAGAAACATGTTGTGACTTACAATCCAAAAACCTCAGCGTAAATACTCTGAAACTAAATTTGCATTCTGGTAGGGAAACGGAAGAAGAAGTGATAGTAAATATCTAAATTATAAAACAACTGGTTATGAAAAATTATAATAACCTTACACACATTTCTTCATATTCTCCGCAAAGTATCAATTATAATCACAAAAAGTCATGGGCCTAGGTATCGCATTTCTGTATTATTAATTTGTATGTTACGTCAGTGTAGGTTTTTCAAGGCTAAATAAAAACTGTTATTTTTATTCATTAATTCTCCTACTGAAGAATTCAATTTGAATATCGAAAGCGGAAAGACACTCAGATAATTTATCGAAATGTGTTTATTATTTTGAGATATTTTCAGGAGATTCAAAACATTTTTGTGTCAAATAAGTGTAACGTTTTAAAGAGCTTTAATATCACTCCAAAAAGCAAATCTTTTGCCAATCTGAATAGGAACAATAGTAATTTAAGTTTTTTTCAAGACACTGTAAACGAATTTAGCGCGATTCGTAGAACTAAATTATCAGCAAAAACTTAAGAGGACAAAAAAAAAAAAAAAAAAAAAAAAAAAGACGTAAAAAAAGGAAAATGAAAAGGAGAAGAAAGAAATTATTTATGCAGCAAGAGTTAATGCAGTTATACCTAATTTATTTTTAATATTATCTGTCATCTCACATTTTCTCCAACTGAAAATAATTTTTACAATGATTTTCATGCGTTAAAAAAGTGTTTATTCCACAATAAAAAAATTCTGTAAATATGTCGCAGAAACTTCCAGAGAAAAAAAAAAAAAAAACATACGCAGTGTAAGAAGTGTCAGTGATATGACGTACGTAAAGAATCTGTTTAGTTCTTAAGAATATCAGTTCTTTGTAAGCTTTGGCAAGTATGTCTTTCTCTTGCATCACAGTCACGAGACAACGTTGCTCTTTTTATCCCGTTATCAGCTGACTGCAGTGTTCTCAGCGCAATTTCCAGGTTTTACGTGGTAGTGTTTCAGCTTTCATCATTGCAGTTAATGAAAAGAAAGGTAGAAAATAAGTGTATTATTTGCAGACTTTTTGAAATCTTCGAAAAAAAAAAATATTTAAACTGTGCATTTTTCTGTGCATCCCACAGTGTATTGAAAAGATTAATCCATTGGAAATTTTCTTGCTTTTTCCATTTACTTTAAAAACCCAATATAATCTAGTACAGAATTTTTTTTAATTCCTTGCTGAGTAATTTATATTTTGGCAGATGCTGTTAAGCTATAATCAAAAGTGTTCAAGTTGCGTTTTTATTTCGATCTATTTTTAAGCAAAAATTTGGCACAATAACACTAAATAAGTTTGCTTCTTGAAGAAAGGAAACTTGCACCACTCTCATGAAACGTATACAAATTTTCTTATTTGATTCTTTGGTTTAATTTTATATGATATAAGCAGCATGTTTGTTAGACAGTATTCCTATAGACTCACTACTTCAAAAAATAAAAAATAAAAAATAAAAAAATAAAATAAAATAAAAAAAAAGAAGAAGAAGAAGGGTTGCGATATAGTTATATTTTAGTGCCCCAGTATCAGCTGATTCGAAATCTGCGACTTACAGAGGGCCAAAAAGAAGTTTCAAAATTTTAAATTTACCTATAATACGCACCAAGTGAGAAAGGGCTGCAGCATAGTAAAATAACACCTTGTCTCCCTGTCACAATCCTGACTACGAGCATATGAATGCGCCATTAAGACCGGTGTAGCCAAAGCAAGGCTGAAAATGGTCATGCATATTCTTAGGTCTACATATTCTTAGGTTACAAATCAGCTTGAAACCGAACATTATAATGTACTGCATTTTTTCCATTGTTTTGTCATACTTTGAGAACTACACTAATTGCCAGATATCTTTAGGTAAAAAAAA